GAGTGGTTGGGTTAGTCAGTGGGTGGGTGGCTGGCTGAGCGGGTTAGTCGGTAGGTGGGTGGGTGAGTGAGCGGGTGCGTTAGTTGGTGGGTGGGTTGCTGGGTGGGTTGGTTAGTCGGTGGGTGGGTGGCTTGGTGGGTGGGTGGGTGGGTTAGTCGGTAGGTGGGTGGCTGGGTGGGTGGGTTAGTTGATAGGTGAGTGGGTTAGTCGGTAGGTGGGTGGCTGGGTGGGTGGCTGGGTGGGTGGGTTATTCGGTGGGTGGGTGGCTGGGTAGGTCGGTGGGTGGGTGGCTGGGTGAGTGGGTTAGTCGGTGGGTGGGTGGCTGGGTGTGTGGGTGGGTTAGTTGGTAGGTGGGTGGCTGGGTGAGTGGGTAGGTTAGTCGGTAGGTGAGTGGTTTAGTCGGTGGGTGGGTGGGTCAGTCTGTGGTTGGCTGTATGGGTACGTGGGTTAGTCGGTGACTGGGTGACACGATTGTTATCGCAACTGCGGCTTCGAACTGCAAACGTTGGTAATTCGAGCCGGCCGCGTGTGTGAAAGTGCCACAGAGGGCTGTGTAATCGCGCGAGGCGAGTTCACGCCACGAGTCTATTTAACCCGCCGTGTTTTTTTGCTCGTGCAAATAAATGCGGAGGGGGGCAGCTCAGAGGAGGAGACGGGTGGTGTGTGGGCGGGGTGGTGGTGGGAAGCCGTGGCGGGTTCTGCTTCTCTTGTGTGTGTGTCAGGTCAGACTGGTTCTTCGGAGGCTGCGTTGGTTGCTGGTTGGGGGGAGCCAGCTCGCTTTGAGGCAGGCACACCCCATGCGTAATGTGACACCCCCTTACACACACGCGCGCACGCACGCACGCACGCCCATCGCTGGCGTATTCTAGATGGTGGCTGGGTGGTGGTGATGGTGGGTGGCTGGCTGGTGGGCGTACCCCCCCTCCCACCCCTAGGTCGACTCAGCCTCAAATGAGTACCTGCTGCGGTCTGTAAACATCGCTACTGGGGAGACAAAGGCGGCCGGGCGTGGTGCTGACTACCCACCCCCTCGTGTGCCGTGCCGGCCTTCACAGGTGCTGATGCTCGCTCACAGCACTTGCCCCTACGGTCTGTTAAGGCTATACGGGTGATCTTTGTCTTTTGCTGGTGCACGTCCCACGTTAGTTGGGCTCTTCTGAGCTGATTGCGTAATGTCCACGTTCTTATGACAGGGACCAGTATCTAGCTGAGGTCCATCAACGAGACATCAACGACAAAGTACTTACCGACGTATCACTCAGTGGTGAAAGCATCAGCCACGGAGTACACATTTTACCGGACCCCGCAGGGATGATGTGATGATGATGATGAAGATGGCTCAGCCACCACCCCAATGTAGAATCAACGCCGTTGCTCTAGAGCAGCTTATTATTATTACTGCTACTACTCCACTTGTTATTGTTTGTTGTTGTTGTTGTTTTTGTTGTTGTTGTTGTTGTTATGCTTCACCGCGTTGGCCGGTGACAGTTCGGGTAGGGGCAGTGGCAGGGTAGGGCAGGACCGGCCGCCTTTGTCTCCCTCGACCAGTGCTGATGGTTACGCACCGCACCACGTTCTCCTGTTAAGGCTGAGTTGACCTAGGTGGTGGAGTGAGGGCAGCAGAGGGTGGGGGGCGGATAGGTCAGAACTGTACTAATATGGGTTTTCCCCCTTTTTTCTGGCAACAAAACTGACACCTTTTGCACGGAATCATGCTTAGATTAACCACAATACTTGCAGTCAAATGCAAACAAAAAACAATACTCTGATAATTTCATCAGAGTTATGAGAGTATTGTTTTTGTTTGCATTTGACTGCAAGTATTGTGGTTAATGTAAGCATGAGTCCTTGCAAAAGGTGTCAGTTTTGTTGCCAGAAAAGAGGGGAAAAACCCCTATTAGTATATTTTGGTACTGGCAAAGGAGATCCCATGAGGTCAGAACTGGTTCGAATATTCGCCACTAGCATTGGCTCACGTGGTCCGGAATGGAACTCACGTGGCCACGGCTCACGGCGCTGACCATTTGAAGACGGAGGAATGGGGAAAACCTCCCTTCTCCTCCTCCTCCTACCCCGAAGCTGAAATGAGGAATGATTAATTACACGGCACGAGAAAATAATGATCACCCAGGGTAAATGAATAACTTAGTCACTCTTGTATAAAAAGTTTGTTTTTATGTAAGGGTGTTTATAAAAAAACTGGCCGACAAAGTGAATAACGTGAGTATATCTATATATATACATTGGGGTGGCAGGTACAAAGTTAAATTCACGGGAAAAATTTAAGAGAACGGCAAATGTAGATTTTGTTGGGACTGTACATGAGAACACTGGGCATTGAATATTAGGTGAATGATCTTGTATCTGGCGACGTTGATCGCTAACGCAAAGACACCGCGGCAGATTGCGAATTAAGCCTCCCACCTCTCGCTATTTTTAAATCCTTTATATTAAGTTCGCTTGCTTGCTTGCTTACGACCGTGCAAATCTTTCGGTCGTTTTTTAACCCACTTCCCGTGATCCAATCGAGCTGACATTTTGCACACAGACTCGTTGTGCGAGACAATTAATGTTCGTGAAAAATTTTGTCCAAAATTTTACACTGTTTAGGAAAAACTAATTAAATATTTAATTACCAATTGCTTAATACTGGCAGACAATCATCTGACCCATAGGTGGCAGCCATCTCAAGCCAGAGGACGAGAGGACTCTAGCCGCCACGCATATAAAGGATTTATAGTGAAAAACTTTGTTTTTACGGGTTATACTTATTTTGGTTTCTTTAAACAACTGGAACCCACTGAGGTTCTTGAATGAATCTGGGATGTAAAAATGTACCAGAGAGAGAGACAGTCGCTTTGTTACTCTACTGCTGGATGAGGGTTTCCCCACGCAATGTGGATCATGGGGGGGGGGGGGGTGGAGGGAGTTTTGACTATACTTCACCACGGCTGGCTAGCTGCGGGTTGGCAGGAGGGCAGCATAGACGTTGGGGCATAGTACAGTACAACAGTGTTTGTTTTTTTTGCTGTACTTTACTGACAGTGGAGTGATCGAGACTCGGACTCGTTAATAATTACCGAAAATTCTTCCACGACTGTAAGTTATTAGTTGTCCTTGTTTCCTGTGTAGCCGATGATGATGATGATGTTGGGCTACGATTCGTGAGGTCATGGTCGCTTCCGAAAAATAAAGTTACGTAGCTGCTCAGTGGGAACTTACCCCTGGTGAAATAAAAAAAATTAGTTTAGTTTTAGTTTAATAGAACTCCCCCCCCCACACACAACCCATGCCCGCCCCCTAGGTCGACTCAGCCTGAAATGAGTACCCAGTCTCACGTCTAATAAAAACCCGGCGCCTCCCAGCGACGGCTAACATCAGTGGCAGATTTTGATTTGAAGCTTTCGTGACTGCAGGGATTCATATTCTTGGTTCTTTCGGTAAAGTCATCACGTAGAAGGGAAATAATAAAATAATAAAAATATAAAACAATCAAAATTCTCACGACGTTTCGACTGCAACACGAGCAATCGTCATCAGGTGTGAAATCCACAGCAAGAAAAGTTAAAATTGTCAAATTTCAAATTTTCTAATTTTCTAATTTTCTTGCTGTGGATTTCACACCTGATGACGATTGCTTGTGTTGCAGTCGAAACGTCGTGATAATTTTTATTGTTTTATATTTTATTATTTTATTATTTCCCTTCTACGTGACTTTACCGAAAGAACCAAGAAAATCAGTGGCAGAGTTACATCGGCTCAACACAAACCGCGCAAATGAGCGAGGTTGTCGTAACATCGTGCTGAGCACCGGCCACAACACCGTTCCCCACGGCTACCTTAATAGGTGCTCGCTAACAGCACTTGCTCCCAACAGCCTTTAAAAGGGCATGTAAATAATCGTGTTAGGTCTTCCCGTTTATGGTGTTTATTTAACAAAGACAAAGATCCCCCGTGTAGCCCGGGCAAGTACTGTTAGCGAGCTCGCAACTTATGATTGCTGGCAACGGCACGCGAGGGGACGGTGTGAACGGCACCACGCCCGGCCGCCTTTGTCTCCCCAGCGGCGATGTTTACTACGCACCCGCACCAAGCGCTCATTCTAGGCTGAGTCGACCTAGGGGGGAGTGGGAGGGTGACCCAGGACCGGTCCGGATAAATCATCGCCGCCAGCGTTGGCCGTGAGCAAAGTTCAAGTATTAGGTATAGCCCTGTGAGCCAATCGGCTCTTGAATCGGGTGCAACCGCAACAAACAAAAAAAAACATGAACAAGAAAACATCTTAAAGTGACTATGTGCAAACAGAAAATCCAAGGAAAGACAGCAAAATATTGCAGAAAAAAATCACCGTACACCAACGCTGTGTGCAAAAATACCAGTGGGATGCAAGTCAAACAACAACAACAGCCACAAGACATCTTAGATTAAGGCCATCAGTCTAACTCTGTACTACAACAAACAAACATGGCTAAACCAAAACACTTTTCGAAATCAACAAAATAAAGCCATAAAAGTCAACCAACAACAACCACAAGACAACTTAGATTAAGGCCATCAGTCTAACTCTGTACTACAACAAACAAAAAATGGCCAAACTAAAAAACGTTTCGAAAATTTTTCGAACTCGCGTTCGCTATGATTCGTAGCGCAGCGTAGCGAGTTCGGACGCGTTCAGACTCAAAGGTGTTTGCAGCAAGACCTGAAGCCACGAATTTCTCGGCGTTGTTGTTTTGCCCCGGCGAAAACGAGCGGCTGATGGGGCAAGACTCGAGGCTTTCTCTCAGGAGGTCTACGAGCCGGACACGAGAAAACCTGACCAGACCAAGTGACAATTCAATTCCCCACGTGTCACCAGACACCCCTGTCGGCTCGTGCGACAGTGTTGCGACCCGGAGTGTACTCCCATGCCCACAGGCATTGTCACACAACGCGCACACCACACACACATACACACACGTGGGGGGTGGTGGGGGGATAGGGGAGGGTGTGTGTGTGTGTGGGCTGAGTTTAAATAACTCAGCTCCGAGCTCAGCCCACAGCGTCTCGAGCGAAAGGTTGAACAAGGAACGAGACGCAGCAGCAGTGCACCGACCAGGTAAGAACGCTGCTGTGCTTACGCGTGGAAGCCTCTTCTTGGTTCTTTCGGTAATGTCATCACGTAGAAGGGAAGTAATACAATAATAAAAATAAAACGTAATAATATAATTCTCACGACGTTTCGGCCACAACGCAAGCAGCCGTCCTCAGGTGAAGAACAGGTCTGTCGGAAAAACAGCTCATTCAGACGGAAAGACAGCTCATTCAGACGCTGTCTTTCCGACAGCCCTGTTCTTCACCTGAGGACGGCTGCTTGCGTTGTGGCCGAAACGTCGTGAGAATTATTTTATGATGTTTTATTTTTATTATTTCCCTTCTACGTGACTTTACCGAAAGAACCAAGAAGATGAACCCGTGAACGCCTGTTAAGAGCTTTATAGATCATCGGATTCATTCACCCCCCCCCCAGTATTAAGTACAGATGCTGGTTCTTGATTTCAGCCGGAACGCTTCCGAAGGCTGTCCCAGAAAGGTATTCCCGAGTGAGAAACTGACATCAGCGAACACAGGTGAGTCGATGTGCCTGCTGTTTCTTTCTTTCTAGATTTGAAGCTTTCGTGACTGCAAGGATTCATACTCTTAGGTTTTTTCGGTAAAGTCACGTGGGTAAAAAAAAATAAAAAAATAGTTATTTTCATTTATTATTATGTTATTTTATTACTATTTTTACCTGCTTTTTTTCGTCCAAATTAAATATGTTCTTAGCACGAGAGTGATTTAGGGGCAATACAATCGCAATAACGCTCGGTCTTTCGTATGGCTGATGTTGATGCGGAGCAACTGACACCTGTAAGATAGGATTACTGTGGATAACTCGTACCCGGCGGCTTTGTGGTCTAGTGGTAGTGCCTTACGCCGGCAATTCTCAACGCCAAAGCAGCAGAATGGATGCGCGGCGTTCCTGGGATAAGCCCGCTCTGTCTTAACAATGGTAACTACGTCACTGATAATGTAGTAATCTTGATTTGTCCTGGAGAAAAATCCGATGAGCTGTCAAGCTCTTTGCCCACCACAAATACCCAGTTAGGGGTCCCGGGGGGGGGGGGTGGAGGTGCTCGGCAGACACCAAACTCGAGCCGTCTACAAGTTGACCAGGCTGTATCTTTTTTTTTCACCAAATGATTTTTAAAAAAAATGTTGGTCGCTGGAATGTTGACGGCCGACTTTGGCGTGACGCCCTTAATCCAGCAGGGGATCAACCACGGCTCCTGCTGATGGATCTTGCTGACTCACAGCAGCGATAGAGAAAGCGAAACGGTGGCTTATTCTTCTTTTGGTTCTTTCGGTAAAGTCACGTAGAATGGAAATAAAAAGATAATAAAAATAAAACGTGATAAAATAATTCTCACGACGTTTCGGCCACAACGCAAGCAGCCGTCCTCAGGTGAAGAACAGGTCTGTCGATAAGACAGCGTCTGAATGACACGTCCTAGGCTTGGAGCGTCTATTTAAGCTGGGAGGGAGGAGGAAGAGCGCCTTGACAAAAGAATTTGCATATCAAGAGGAATTTTAGCATATTTATGGGAAATGCAGACATGCGACGAGTACTACTTGTGAAATGCGTAAGAGGTTTGGCGGGGTGTTTAAAGTCATGTTTTGCCCGTGCATTATGCAGGACCAGCAGCATCAAAGGGAGGGGACAGGGGGAAGCATTAATAAAGGGAAGGAATGTTAATAGTATGTAGCTGCAGCAAATGAAATGGTGGCTATGAGATGTTAACTACCTCGCCAGGTATACAGGAGGTCGTGGCTTCGATCCCGACCCTGACGCCTGCTCTATATTTGGAGTTTGCGTGTCTCTCTCTCTCATCATCACGGTGGCTAGGAGATGTTAACTACCTCGCCAGGTATACAGGAGGTCGTGTGTTCGATCCCGACCCTGACGCCTGCTGCTGTATATTTGGAGTTTGCGTGTCTCTCTCTGTCATCATCACGGTGGCTAGGAGATGTTAACTACCTCGCCAGGTATACAGGAGGTCGTGACTTCGATCCCGAGCCTGACGCCTGCTCTATATTTGGAGTTTGCGTGTCTCTCTCTCATCATCACGGTGGCAAGGAGATGTTAACTACCTCGCCCGGTATGCAGGAGGTCGTGGGTTCGATCCCGACCCTGACGCTTGCTGCTGTATATTTGAAGTTTGCGTGTCTTTCTCTCTCTCATCATCACGGTGGCTAGGAGATGTTAACTACCTCGCCTGGTATACAGGAGGTCGTGGCTTCGATCCCGACCCTGACACCTGCTGCTGTATATTTTGACTTTGCGTGTCACTCTCTCTCTCTCATCATCACGGTGGCTAGAAGATGTTAACTACCTCGCCAGGTATACAGGAGGTCGTGGGTTCGATCCCATCCCTGACGCCTGCTGCTGTATATTTGGAGTTTGCGTCTCTCTCTCTCCCCGTGGTCGCGTGGATTTTTCTCCGGGTCCTCCGATTCCCCCCCCCCCCCTCCACATTTAGAATCAACGTCACGCGTTTTAGAGTCATCTGGCTGATGCTTATGAATTTCCACACGACGACGGTAACGATGAGCCCACTTCGTTGAGCTATCATTTGTCATTGCCGCTGTCGCTTCTGAAAAAGAGAGTGGGGGAGGTGGTGCCCTTACCTGGCAAAATACTCAATAATATTTGGCCGAGTATTACACTGGTCAACAACAAAATAATTTCTGGCCTGGACTTTTGCAGCTGTTCTAGACTAATTTCAGGGTGCTGATTCCAAATCTGATCTCAGATTTTCTCGATCACATCTCATTTTTATGCTATCGGCATACCACATTTTCATTGATTTTACCCGAAATTAACTCTGTCACTTATGAGTGCAAGTTGTTGCGAGTCAGTGACTGTTTTAGTGTTAAAGTATGGTGCTGTATTTTTAGGATAGTGTGTTTGTAATATCATTTTATGTAGATATCCACATTTATATAATATTTTTCTTCCGCAGTTTTTATTGAAAATGCAACATTTGATATCTCAAAAACCTGATGTGATAGACAACATCTGATGCCAGATTTGGAATCAATCATCAACCCAAAATTACTTTTAAACCGTTGGAATACCTTATGTCAGAAAAAGTGTGTTGACCAGTGATATCAACGGTGCAATACTATATGGGCGCGGGGAGTTCACGTATTTCAGTGTTGTACTCCGCTGGTCTTGCCCTTGTTTTCTCTCTCTTCTTCTTCTCCCCCTGGTTGAACGCGGAGCGAATGGAAATTGACGCGGGCCAATCTAGGCCTGGAGTTTTTTTTTGGGGGGGGGGGGGGGGTGAGATCGCGTGAAAATATAAATGTGTCGCTAAACCCGCCACCACCCGACACGGTCAACTAGTAAGGGGTTGTCACGTGAACAGAACGTGGCCAATTCGTCACTAGTACAGCACTAGTGTGTAGTGTATAGTAGTGTATAGTGTAATGTATAGTAGTGTATATTAGTGTATAGTGTAGTGTATTGTAGTGTATAGTGTAGTGTATAGTGTAGCCTTGTATAGTGTAGTGTACAGTGTAGTCGTGTATAGTGTAGTGTATATTAGTGTATAGTATAGTGTATAGTGTAGTGTATAGTGTAGTGTATAGTAGTGTATAGTGTAGTGTATAGTGTAGTGTATAGTAGTGTATAGTGTAGTGTATAGTAGTGTATAGTGTAGTGTATAGTAGTGTATATTAGTGTATAGTGTAGTGTATTGTAGTGTATAGTGTAGTGTATAGTAGTGTATAGTGTAGTGTATAGTAGTGTATATTAGTGTATAGTGTAGTGTATTGTAGTGTATAGTGTAGTGTATAGTAGTGTATAGTAGTGTATAGTGTAGTGTATAGTGTAGTGTGTAGTGTATAGTGTCGTGTATAATAGTGTATAGTGTAGTGTAGTGCATAGTGTAGAGTATAGTGTAGTGCATAGTGTAGAGTATAGTGTAGTGTATAAGTGTATAGTGTAGTGTATAGTGTAGTGTGTAGTGTATAGTGTAGTGTATAGTGTAGTGTATAATAGTGTATAGTGTAGTGTATAGTGTAGTGTATAGTGTAGTGCATAGTGTAGAGTATAGTGTAGTGTATAGTAATTTATAGTGTAGTGTATAGTAGTGTGTAGTGTAGTGTATAATAGTGTATAGTGTAGTGTATAGTGTAGTGTGTAGTGTAGTGTATAGTAGTGTATAGTGTAGTGTATAGTAGTGTATAGTGCAGTGTATAGTGTAGTGTATAGTGTAGTGTATAATAGTGTATAGTGTAGTGTATAGTAGTGTATAGTGTATAATAGTGTACAGTGTAGTGTATAGTAGTGTATAGTGTAGTGTATAGTGTATAGTAGTGTATAGTGTAGTGTATAGTGTAGTGTATAGTGTAGTGTATAGTAGTGTATAGTGTATAATAGTGTATAGTGTAGTGTATAGTAGTGTATAGTGTAGTGTATAGTGTATAATAGTGTATAGTGTAGTGTATAGTGTATAATAGTGTATAGTGTAGTGTATAGTGTAGTGTATAGTGTAGTGTATAGTAATTTATAGTGTAGTGTATAAGTGTATAGTGTAGTGTATAATAGTGTATAGTAGTGTATGTTGGTGTGTGTGTGGTGTTGGTGTTGGTGCGTGTGTGGTGGTGCGTGTGTGGTGGTGCGTGTGTGGTGGTGCGTGTGTGGTGGTGCGTGTGTGGTGGTGCGTGTGTGGTGGTGCGTGTGTGGTGGTGCGTGTGTGGTGTTGGTGGCGTGTGGGTAGTTTTTAATGCGATTCCGCTTGGTGAGCGAATGACAAGGGGCGAGAAATGTGGTCCAGCCTGTTCTCGCGAACATTTCTGGCTCAGTCCGAATTAAATGTTCCATGTGTGTGCGTGCGTGTAGGTGCTCGCCTCCACGAGCGGTGGGGAGCGGTGGTGTAGCGGTTAGCGCGCTTAGCTATGAACCCGGCGACCCGGGTTCGATTCCCGCTCACGGCCAACACCCAGTGACGATTATCTGAACCGGTCCTGGGCCTCCCCTAGGTCGACTCGGCCTCACATGAGTACCTGGTGTGATGTGTAAACATCGCCGCTAGGGAGACAAAGGCGGCCGGGCGTGGTTATGGCCACCCACCCCCTCGTGTACCGTGCCGGCCTTCATAGGTGCTCGCTAACAGCACTTGACCCTACAGTCTGTCAAGGCTATACGGGGGATCTTTATCTTTGGTGTATTTACGGGGAGTGGTGGTGCAGCGGTTAGCGCAATGGGCCCGAGTTCGATTCACCAGCACGCGGTGGCGAATATTTGAGCCGAGAGTGGGCGTCCTCTACGTCCACTCAACCTAAAATCAGTTCGCTGTACGGATCGTAAACATCGGCACTGGGGGAGACAAAGGCGGTCGGGGGGAGGGTGGTATTTGGTGGACACAGCACCGCCACGTGCGCTGTGCTGTCCTTAATAGGTGCTCGCTAACAGCACTTGCCCCAGCAGTCTGTTGTATGTGTGTGTACCGTATGTTCAACTTCAAAATTGCTTAAGTGGTCTGTGTGGTTGTCCCACCTGATGACGGACGCTGGTGTTGCG